AAAAATGCGAAAGTTATATCATGTGCGATAGATTTGCAGCAATCTACTTTGGCTGTTATCATATTTTGTGCAGAAGAAATCTACGAGGCAACATTACTATCTGAGACAACGTAGTTTATGTTATGAGTCAAAGTGAATTAATGCACCTTAAAATTAGACAGAAAAGCAACTTTATCTTGGTGCACGATTGGTATCGATTAACAAAGCGATCAAACATAGATCCCTCTTCTTCAGGAACGAAAAAAATCTGCATGGCGAGGAAAATATTAAATGAAACATGAAATACTAAGATAAAATTCTAAAATCGTTAGAAAGGTTTTGATTGAGATTAATGTCATTAAACTGGAGAAAATTAATTTTATGAATGTAAAAAGCTTCATGGAAGTCCAGTTCACCATCTGGAGAAGTTTTATGAATAATTTCCGCAGAATCAAAGTAAAAATTGTGATTACATTTCCAACTATGATTTGTTGTAGAAGATTTGTTTATTTCTCCTTTTCGTACATACAATTAGTGTTCCTTGGCCATATTCCTTGTTATAAATACGGATATAGGTTATATCATTAATTATTTTACTCCTGAAGAAGAGGAACATGTGTCTGACCGCCCTCAAAAAGAGTTAGTTCAAAATATGCACCAAAATAAAGTTTCTGTTCTGCTTATTTTAAATTTTACACTGGCGTGTTTCTCTGCTTATTTGAACTAAAACGTTTCTCAAAAATTGTCTGCGACGTCAACCTTTGGCTGTAAGGCGTTTTAACTTTCAATAAGAAAGATACACACACTGGCCAATGAATTAGAAATTTTGAGATTTTCATTTGAATGCGTGCTACGGATGAAATTTGCAAATTTATTTATGACGTAGGTTATACGTGGTTAGAATGCTAGTTTAAGTAAAGTGTAAGATTGCTTTTCGCTATAAATGAAATAAAATGAGAAAAACGACAGATCTTTCACCATTTAAAAGGGCTTATTGTTGGTGCCCGTTTAGCAGAAGCCTTGATTTCAAAGTTAGCAAATCTCACTGGATTCTCAAAATCAGCCATATCAGGGTTTTCCAAAGTTGGAATCAGAACCTAATGAATTGTACTTCAGAACAGGGAAACTACAGTGCTTTAACTGAAACAGATCGTCAACTAAGCCTCTTCGCAACATATTTCAGCTCGAACCATGAGCAGGGAATTGCAGAGGATAGGAATGTATAGCCCGTGAGAAAAACCTCTCATTTCTACTGGACCTGCAAAAATTCGTTAGCAGTGGTGTCGGGAAAGAAGACACCGGACATCTGAGGATTGGAAACGGGTAATGTGTTCAGATGAATCACGCTACACCTTATTTTGCAATGGTGGAAGACGTCGAATTTGTCAAGAACCCCATGAATCCATTTGCCTTACTCGCACTGTGCAAGGGTCTGGTGGGAGTACCATGATATGTGGTATGTTATGCTTCATGGATTGGTGCCCTGTGGTTCTTCGAGGGTAAACAAGCATCCATGAGATACCTAGATGTGCACCCTGCAATGTTGCATTATTACCCTGAAGGCGACGGATGCTTAATGGACGATAATGCAATTATACATCGTGCCAGAAATGCTCAAAAGTGGTTCGCTGAACATCAGTCTGACTTCCAACACCTACCTGGCCACCGCACAGCCCGTATCTTAACGCCATAGAAACACCACTCTCCTCTTCCCTCTAATTTACAAGATATAAAAAGCTGCAGTATTTTCTGGACGTAAATACACTCCAGAAGAATATAGACTAGATGCTCAAACGAATCAGAGCAGTTATCTGTGCGAAAGCTGGTCCAATAAAATATTGATCTTGGGTTTATAACGTATTCATCAGTGTGTGTATTTAATTCATGATGCGAGTACTTTCGTTATTAGGTTAAACCTCTGATCCCATTGTTCTCTAGTGTCAAGTTGGTTCAATGAAGTGAATTCCACACAGTTCAAGTTATCCGAAAGAGTGTAACAGTCTGTCAAGACAAGTTTCAAAAGAATAATTCTAACCACAGATAGTGTTGTAATAGAACTTATAATAGAACTATCCTGAGAGCATTTTTAGACTTTTTCAAACTTCGTTGTACTATTCTAAGTCTTCTCAGTCTGAAAGGTTTTCGCCTGAGGGTTGACGAAAGCAATGGTAGAGTGAGAACGCTTTAATAGAAGGGCGTTCGCCAAACACATCGCTCCAGAATCATCGTAAACAGAAACGTTGCGGAGAAAACAAAACAAGGTAAGCATTTCTCCTAAGATGTACAAAACATCGTGGGACAAGTGAATGCCAGGAGAAATCATCGTGGTATTAAGCATCGTTGTACGTTCTCGTAGATAATAAACAGCTCAAAATAACCGCCAATTTTCAAAATTAAGTATAAAATATCAAAATAAAGATTAAAACATCTAAAATTCATTGCAGACAACATGAAGACATGTTGTTTGCAATGAATTTGTGCATTGTGAATGAAAGCAAAATATTTAAAATTTTACATGTATGTTCGCAGTACTAATTTAACAATATAAAATAGATTGCTACCAATCTAACTTTATGAAACAGCTTAATTAAGTAATTTTACGTTAAATAGTTGTAATGTGAACTTAAAAATTAAAAATTATATTAAATGCTATACCTAATATTAATTTTCTATCTAGTTTTAGGTTTTAAGTTTCCTTGTTCGTTTTCCCGCAAATCTTTGTTAGTTAATTCAAAAATATCACGGAGGTAGGAAAGGGAGGAGGGGCCATTCCGCAGAAGTGAAGCACTGCTTTGAAGCTTGGGTCACCAGATGGGGTGTTCTTTGTTTACATTCAGAAGCTCGCTTGACAAGATTCTGATAGTATTTCGACACACGACAGTTCCATAGAAATCGAAAAAGGGACACTCTCGCATGAAAGAAACATTCATAGTGTGATGGATAATAGCAATTTGTATAGTTTAGTGACATTTACGCAAAAATCACATCTTGGTTATTTTCGATAACTAACAACAGCGATTTTGATTATGAATTTGTTTTATAAAATTCTAAGCTGTTGCACTACAAAAATATAGATTTTAAGAAAAATGTTATGCTTAAAGAATGAAAAATACCTTACGGTACATTTTAAAATTGTATACATCTTTCGATACCCTTGATAGAGTATTCGCTACTTTTATTTTATTTTCCAAACGTCAAAATGTTTTAAATAAAACAAATTTTTTCACATCCATATATTATTGTAACATGTTACCTTTTAAAATTTTTAGAGGAGAGGCTTTACTACTGCTCATTTTAAACCCATCGTTTTAATTTTATATATCTGAAAAATAATCACTTTGGGCTTACACGTTTTACTTATTTGGGTTAACTAAAAATAAAATTACCATCAAATGCTGCAATCCTCGTCAAAATTAATAAATATACACACAGATATGCTGACAAGTTAGCTTTCCCTTGATTTGGAACCACACATTTGTGTAAAATTATGTACAGTTTTACACAAATGTGTGGAACAGAAGAGGGATACATTTGCGAATTTGGTGGAAGTACCATGTGCGGTCAAGATGATGTGACCATGCGAACGTGCTACATCATCAAGACAGCTTATTCAGAATTTGAAAATAGGGTAATCGAAGGAGGTGAACTGTGAAACAACTGTGAAAGTACTGTGAAGAAATCTAATGATTAAATGTATCTAATTATAAATGTTATCTAAATATATAATAACCTTAATATTGAATTGTAAACATAAATTGAAATCCTGTTGACAAATACGTTATAAAACTATTTAAGCAAGAATTGTTCGTATTGGAAAGCAATCTGTTAAAAGGGATTGTAAAGCAAATGCTATGAGATGCGCACTTAAGAACGTAATAAAGAGTTTTGGAATATGTATTGTTGAAATGAAGAGTAAAAAAAAAAAAATCTGATAAGTATAATTAAAAGAATTATTCCCCTTACATTTTATAATAACTCAGTTACAAGTTTTAAATAATACTTAAAAAAAAACTTATTTTATTCCCTTTCAGAAATGTTCAGAGAAAGTCAAATACTATTTAATACCTATTTAATTATTAGGAATTAGCGAAATACTTATTTAAAGTATTTCGCTAATTCCTAGTAATTCTCTAATTTAAAATGAACCGAATAGAGCATTAATTATAAATTGACTTACATTTTTCGATTTAAAAGATGCCTCAGAAGCCAAAAAATCATGTCATACTTAAGAAAGTATTTTAGGAAGAAGCTCTATAAATAGAAAAGAAATAATGCATAATTTTAATATTAATAATACAATAAACTTTGATCTTGATTTTGTACCTTAACCGAATAAAATCGAATTACCTTAATTTTTTTTTCTAATGTAATTAAGGAAAACTTGTGAAAAGATTTCATTCAAATTAAACCATTCTGAGAAAACTGTCCTGTGAAAGTATAGCATTTAATTCCATTCAGAATGAAATGTTTTTAAAAATATGTTGTTTTCACATACTTAGGACTCTGAAGTGTTGTAGAAAAAGAAAATATATACATTTATATGTATATTTGCGACGTAATTACAAAATATTTACACCCGAACGCGTCAAATCCCATAGAACTCAATGGTAAATGACCCAATGTTTTGGTCACCACGTAGGGATCGCCGGTGCTTCAGAGCAGGGTACGGAGAAACTTGTTTAGGGCGACTCCATCTTACTTCCTACCTCCATGAAAAATATGAAATGTAGAGGTAAAAATATTCGATATACTTTCTTTCGATTACATATGTTTATGCGAATATGCATTCAAAACATTCAAAATATGTCTGCGATGTTATCATCACGCGATGATTTTTATGTGCTGTATTTTTATCAAGATATTTTAAAGCTTCGAAATTTTTGAACGGATTTGTTTTCTATAACGATATTTCATACCACGATGTTTTAGAATAGCGATATTCTCTACTTTGTTTAATTTCTGCTACGTTTAGTATGGCGATGTCTTCTCCACAATGTTTTGGTCTGCAACGAACTGAAGTAAAGTAGCCAGCTCCCTGGAAACACAACATACCTCAAGGCTGTGAAGACTGTGCGCTAGCTTCGAACAAAGCCTACTAAAAAGCTTTGTGTTGGAAGATGTGTATTTCCAAAGAAAGGTACTAATAAAATCCTACATTCTTTGTTCAATATGTGAATAGTTATACGATGTTCGGCAAATACCCGGAAAAATCTATGGCAATGCCACTTCAGTTTTCATGTGCCATATATGTATTATGTAAGCTGGTTGTTATCACGTTCTTCACCACGAATCAAACATTTCGCTTCCTTCCTTGGCCCTCGTTGCCTTTTCCAGCTTCATACTATGTTTGTTTTGCATAAGAAGATTCCTGAATTTGAAAACTAGAATATTTCAGGATATAGCACGAAGTGTTGTTTTGGTATTGGATTCATCATCCTCTTGTTTATGGTAAAGTGTTTCCATATTTGAGAATTTCGCATAATTGTTTAAAATTTAAAGGTTTCACAAATTAGAAATTAGAAATATTAGAACTATATTTATACATTTCGTAGATGAGAGAACATTTAGGTAAGGTCACATAAATTGCTTAGCTTGTAATGTTAACTGATTTGTGCTGTACATCCAGATCTAAATCATTATATTGGACACCTGGTTATTGTACTTATTCACTTAAATACGAGGAAATGATTTGAAAGAGCTATAATGTTAAAAGTGCGTAGGTTTCCAAGCAACGCCTTGTCATATCAACTTTTAATAGATGGCGCGTAAAATCACTGAATTCTGATAGCTCGATCCAGGGCATAAATCCCGGCGAATGGGCTGGCTGCATATGTGTTTTCATGGTTTTCCACGTGTGCGGAAAGTAACTGCAAGCCAGTTTCCTTTGACAAGCTTTTCTTAAAGATATCCCTTCTCTCAGGGTTTAATTTCTAAACTTAGAAGTTACGGAACGCTATAGAAGACTGTCAATAATGTAAGAACAAGAACAAATAAATAAATAAAATGACTATTAAAATAATTACGAATTGAAAAGTTAAAAATCAATCATAAAAATAATGAAATGATTAATGATCAGAATAATTAAAATTAAAATTAATAAAATGTAGAGATAAATAAAAATTTAAGAAGTTATTAAATATATGATAAATAATTAAATGATAAAGTAGTAGATTCTGACTTTTATGGCTGGAAATTAAATTTTACTCAAAAGCTCAATCGGTCCCTGGTTGAATTTTAGCCCTGAATATAATGTATTACTTCAAGAGATGAGAGAAAACAAAAGGACCATTCTTTTTCCTAGCATACTTATGAAGAACGTTAAAATAGTTAAAGCGTCACTAATGAGAATAGAGAGTATGCTATATGCAGCAACATTACATATAGAAAATTTTAACGGATGATGCGTAAATATGAAAACAAAAAGAGAAGAGTCCAGCATTTTGAGCATCCTCTAACATTCCATCTGACATCCATCTGCTTTCCATATAATTCTAGTTGTCAAGCAGGGGGACAAATTTTCCCCCAAATCTATAGTTAGCTGATAAAATAGCATCAAATGATAATTTTCATACCCCGTATTTGTTTACATCTTTGGAAACGTTTGCAGGTGTTTTTTTCTGAGGGAAGACACTAGCCTTGGAACGAAAAATTTACCCGCTGTCATAAATTCATTGTACTTTCATAAGAATAAGCCTTTGGCCATGTATGTGGAAGCTTTTTTTATCTTAAAAGTCTCGACCTCCGTCTAGGGGTTTGTTTCCCCAAAAAAGAGAGGCATGCTTTCAGAAGTTAGAATCGAACTTTAATGTAATTTTATTATTGAAAATAAAATTTTCGATATCAAATTCCTGCTCAGTTTCTTGTTCAGTTGCATAAAAGATGTGTCGGAGCTTAAAGCTGTGGTGAACTTTTGGCTAGAATGATGATTTATCTCCAAAACCTAAGAAATACTGGAGCAGGGCTTTGGTAGACGCCGGCTCAATTTAAGCTCTGCTTCCTCTTAGAGAGATAATTCTCGCGTATCTTACCGTAATTCAAAAAATACCATGAACAGACATTTGCTACACATCTGTTTTGAAGTATTCATATTTACATTTCAATATTTTATTAAAAACCCTACCGTGGGAAGAGTTAGTTTTCTCCTTCCTACTGCCTAGCTTTATGCCTTGTGGTGCAAGTGGTAGCAAGATAGCCTGGCAGTCTGCAGATTTCGGTATTCGAATCCTAGAGAAGGCATGGCTGATTTTTGGATTTTCCTGCATTTTAAAGCTCAATTCACTGTACAAGTGGCTCCCGACTAAAATGTAGTGGGTGACAATTTGTAGTCACCTGTACTTGGCGAGTATCTCCCCTTTTACCCCAGTTGCTCTCTAATGAGTGGACAATATAAAGAACTTTCCGCTTCATTAGCAAATGCCTTCGTTGTGTAATTGGAAGCACACCCAGCTAGCAATCGCAAACTCTGCAATTCGAAGCTCCGCGAGGCAGCGGCGCTGATCTTTAATGTTTCTTGCTCAGAATGCAATTTATATACCTACTCGTTCTATAGTTTTCTTAAGAACTTGTATAACTTATTCAGGACCTTTTTCAGGCCATAAAACTTCACTTACGACATAGATTTATAACAAAACTTCATATATGCAGACATTAAAATCGAACTTATTGCCATTTAAAAGCACAGCTAACTTTGATATTTCATTAAAAGTACTGACATTGTAATTACCATATAATTAAGAATAAAATGTGATAAATATTCTTCTGGTAAGACTTTGTGTGAAAAGGCTGCTTTACTTAAGAGAGGAAAAAGAACAAACACATATTTTTCCCTCCTGGAAAGGTATATCTTTCAAATGAATTCGAAATTCAAGGCACTGATGTCAAAATATTTTGCATTTCTTCATATCTTTTCTGTTATATAGTATAAGATAGAAAGTTTCATAACTAATTTAATCGAGAGTGGCAGATATATATATATAATATATATAGATATATATATATATATATATATAATATTAAGATTTCAAGATGTAAACATTAAAGAACATGGTGAAAAATTTGGCAAAGATGACGACGAGTTCAGGATTCAGTTAAACTTTCTTCATTTCAAGCGTGTAATGAATATAACCTTCATCATACTTTTGTAATACCTAACTTAAATAAAAATCCATTCTTTTCTAGCTTATAGGTAAAACATTTTTCACAATATAACAGCTCAAATCTTGAAACTACTGAAACGCAGTCTTTATGTTTTGCAAAATGTATAATGTTTTGTGCAATAGATAAAAGCAGAATATTGATTCATGCACATTTCAAGAAATGAAAATGGTGAAATACTTTATTTATCCATATACGGTTTCTTACTTGAGAAAAATACTTTATTTCCGCATATATGGTTTCTTACTTGAGAAAAATACTTTATTTTTCCATATACGGTTTCTTACTTGAGAAAAATACTTTATTTCTCCATATACGGTTCATTTGTGTAGCATGAATATTTTGTTTTGCAGATACCTCTCACAGCTCATGTATTGCCTTAAGCTGCCTCAAAAAATCCTTCGAAGACTTGCGGAATCGATTCATTAGTTCTTTTATACTTCATGAAACAGGTGCGTATTTAAATTGCTTTAAGTAAAACTAAACACATAACCATTGGACTTTAGTTAGAACTGTGTTATATAATACAGACAGATCAGCAAGCATTTCTAATTTTTTCGTGTTTTCTACTGATCCTCAATAAAACTGAAATGCTTACTTGTCAGTAAAGTTCTTTACGTCAGCTGTATTTAAAGTATATAAGCGAAATATTGCGCATTTAAGACAGTATATAAAATCCAAATTTCTATAAATATATAAGTTTTAAAATTTCAATTGCGCATAATTTTACAAGTGGTAGCCAATGTTTTATGTTTACAATAACGCTGTAGATTGCTCATTTCATATGCTTAAATGAGTAAATGGTAGTTACTAAGGATTAAAACAAACTTGTATGAACGTTTGCAGAATATTCATTCCTCGGCGCAAGAACAGAGACGTAATCTATTTTAGAATAATTGAGAGTTTTCTTAAATCGAGGAAGCTGAATTTCTTATAAGCATTCCGTGAACTAAAAAATAAAGTTGTGAATGCTTAGTGTTTTGCGTCAGACAAAAAAGCAGGAAAAAAACCACGTGAAACCACGGCACTTAGATGGAACCTCACCTTTTCATTGTATTGGAATTTGCAAGGTGGAAAAGAACTAGAATAAAACATGTTTTAATTCCCTTATCAATCAAAACTGTTGAATGAATGAGCAACGGTATGACTATAGATTCAAGAATGAATTTGTGGAGAGATAAGATCTGCTGAACTTGGCGAATTCGGTGAATAAGAATGTACTGGTATTTGTAATGTATCTTCTTTGAGGGTTTTTATTATTATTATTATTTATTTTGTTCAGGATTACACACTACTAAAAACGCTTTTGATTCCATTAGAAAGGTTTTGGATCAGATAACTGAAATTATGAATTTTTTCAAAAGAGAATTTCTAAACACGAGACTTTTCCCAAACACTTAAATATTAACGTCGTTTCAGGCTGTCGTTTGTTTCTTTTCCATAAAAATGTTTCGTAGTCTTCCCGAAGAAATGTGATTGAAAGAAAACTGGAGGTAAAGATGACTTAAAATATTTTTTGAAATAAAGGTATATTGGAAATTTTATCTGCATTCGAAAAATAGTTGATATGCTTTGTCTGAATGAAACTTTTAAGCAACTGAATTATGCGAATCTTCAAACGAAAGAAAAATGACTTTTGTCATAAAAGTGATTAGTCTTGGACAGTGGGATAACAATATTGAATTGACTTATTCTATTTCCCGTCGTTAGCTATATATCACAATAAAATAACACCACATAGATTACAGAAAATAACACACTCAAACTTTCAATACATTTATTTTCCATAGCGACGCTCTGGCGCTAGATTTCTTTCTTACAGCGTAACATAAGCATCGCAACTTTGTACCACAAAAATGAAGTTTCTCGCCGAATATATTTCAGCGCCAATTCTGCTGGCGCATGCGCTATTAGCCAAGGTTCTCCTCTGTCGCCAAGTATTTCTCAGCTAATACAAAACAGGATAGATGGATGGTTGTTTTTCTTGACTTTCCTCATGTATGACATGAGCACGAGAATAATTTTAGAAAGTCCTTTCCAAAGGCATCTTTTTCTTTAGGGAGAGAACCCTCCAGTGCTTTGCTGTATCCAAGTAACATAACCGAACATTTTCTTCGAAAGTTTTTCATGAGCAAGATGAAGCATTGGAAATGAAAGGTCAATATTAAAAATGTTTCATTGTTCAGGGAACATTTTGACTCTGCTTAGAAAGAAAAAATATTTTCAGATGCTAAAGCGAGAAATTTTCCTTCAATGACAACACTGAAGGTTGTATTCAGTCAGTGTTTTAATGAAATTCACTATGTTGTTTGGATTTAATGAGAAATATTTTCAAATGATCAACTGAAGAAGCTCTTCGTGGAGATAAATTTCCGGATGATGTAATCAAAAACAAGAGGTATATCCGATGAAGAACAACTCGGGACTTTGGCTCTCATATACGAATCTTCTCTAAATGTGACAGAGTCCTTGCATATTTTCTATTTGTATCGATGTAACTTTAAAATTCCGGACTGTCAACTCAACGTCTCCTAAAAATAAAGTGACAAAATGGATTGTTGGTTAAAAATGGTTCATGTGTCTCTCTTTCAGACACTTCTTCTCAAATCTTAGATTTAATTTTAAAAAAATTGCAGGCATTGATTGTTGCATTGAAATTTATTGCATTTTCAGAACTGAGTGAGTTTCAGAAATGTAGTATCTTACTTTAATATTTCTTGAAAGAGTTACTCTGCTAAGTAATTTATGATAAAATGAGTTGAAACGAATTATTTCTCTAAAACTTTAATTATAAGTTATCCTAAACATTTTACTCAACTTCAATTTAATAGAAACATTTTCTGTTTTACTTCATAATATAATAAAATGAACAATTTAAACTTTTACATGGCATTTGGAATTTACATTATAAGGTATTTTCTCCCTCCTTCCAGCATTCATGGTAGCATAATACCCTTTCATGGTAGCATAATCGGGGCGTGTTCGAGAGCTCCATGTTCGAGTCCTGGCGAGGACATTGCTCATTTTTCACGTCTCCTGACTCGAAATAACCTAATGACTCTACAAATGGCGCGACTGGGTCCCCTAATTCCCAGTTGCCATTTAAAAGGGGAGTATATAAGGTATTTTCTCCCTCCTTCCAGCATACCTTCGTGGGTAACGAGAGTATAAACGTCGATAGGTCCAGGTTCGAGTGCCGTCAAAGACAATGCACGTTTTTCACAGCTCCTGCTTCAAATTAGCATAATGGCTCTACAACCTTAAAGTGGAAATAGCTTATAAGCTGAGGAATAATATTCTGATGTATGTGAAAAGAACGAGGAATGGCGTCAAAAGATTGTGAATGATTGTTTGAAACGCTATCGTTGCCGAAGCAAAATGATAAATGATCACATTGTGCACACAATACTCATATTGCGTGATAATATGCTGTCACAGTTGGCGTGTGTGATAGATATATGACATGACAATGGGTGGACAACATTCGGAATGAGCAAATCATGTCAAGTTATGTCAAAAATAATGTCCAAAACCGTACCTACGTGATTTTAACGGTATAACATTCCTCTATGTGAGTATAATAGTGAAAACATTCTTACATGGGCCTGGAGACTTAAGGAATTAGGTAATAAACCATTCTGCATTAACGCTGAGAACAAAATATAATGTGAAACGTTTATTTAGCAGTAACAGACTTTATTGTGCTTGTCTTGAAATTATTTATAAGTCAATCTGAGAAAGTATTTCTACGGAGTAAAATAAAAAAATGCTTTTAAAAAGAAGGGCAGAAAAAAATAAAGCATCTGTCGCTAATATTAACATAATGATCTGTCGATGATATTAACATAACGAATTTCATTATACAATCTATTTATTCTGATTTATTCATCATTCAAGTTTAGATAATTTAGAATTTCGTAAAAGGAATAGGGATATAAGTCCCAGTTTGTTTCAAATAAGAGAAGATGTATTAGATATGTGAGTAAAATATTGGCGCGTGTTAAATGCTCTAATAGATCTCCTTAAATCACAACAGCAAGCGTTTAGAAAGATCTTTAATATTTATTCAGATAAATCAAAACTTATAGAACAAGAAGCTATAAGGCAATATTCCGTTAAAATCGCGAGGAATATTGCGGATTCCAAAATCCATGGTCGAACAAAGTCTAACGTACTATTCAAGCATACCAAACAGAAGCTGAACACTACAAACATTTTAATAGCTTCGATCTAACTAAATATTACTGAACTCACTAACCAACTGACAACCGCTTACAGCCTCCTATTCGTAGCATTGCCGAAGGAAGTAGAGGAAAAACATCTGGAAGTTCTGAGAATTTTTCTTCTAGGCATTCGAAAACACCTTTTCAGGAAATTTCCAAAACGACTACAAGTTGTTTAAAACTCGTTAGATATCGCCAGCTTAGTGGGAACATTTTTGCCAAGAGCCAATAGATGTGTTCCTGCCTATATCCCTGATTCTGTCTGAGCTAACAACTCTAACGTCTACAGATATTAGACATCCATAAACATTTAAAACACAGTACGTGCTCATAGATTAGAGATTAAGAAAAGTATATGAAAATATAAATGCACGATTATCATTAAAAATGTATTAATGAATTAAAGAAATTAATAAAAGTAAATGCATAACAAAACAGAAATGCACAAAAACATATTATAAACAAATAAATATACAAATATTTAAATAATTTACATCAGTATTATCCATGATAACATATATTTTAGAATGTTCCTTTTTGACTTTGATATTTTCTAGGATGAAGTATTTATCACTGGACGAACTGGTCAAAGACTGGACGAACTACATTGAACGAAAATTGCTTCATACTGAATTTTCGAGTATTAGTTTGCTAAATAAATAATTTTTCTCTTATCTACTGAATTGTTTCATTTTTATATTTCTCATTAACAGAGCAAATGAGAAAAAAAAATGCATTCAACATTTCTTTTCTGTTCCTTCAACGAAAGTATATTTAGCGAGATAGAACTGTGAACTGGCATAATTTCAGACCATCCTTCCATTCTAGAAAATATTATATTTTCATGTATATGAAAATCGCTATTTCTTTCTGTCTACAATACAGTGGTACCTCGACATACGAGTTTAATTTGTTCCGTAACATTGCTCGTATCTCAAAGCAATTTTCCCCATTGAAATTAATTGAAATGCCATTAATCCGTTCCAGCTCCCAAAACACCACCTCAGTTGTTTTTTTTAAGTGTTTTTTGAATAAGAAAAATGTAGTATTTTATTCAAGAAGAAACATTTATTTATAAATAACAAATACATATTCTATAAAAACATAATTAAAAGAAAAAGTGAAGTGCTTACGGAAGCGCTTAATTTTTGTCACTGGTCTTCGCTTTTTTTTCGTCATGCTTTGCTCATTTTCACCTGCAGATCGTTTAAAAAAACTGTCCAAGGAGGTTTTTGTTTCTTCTTCCCTTTCAAGGTATTGCGGAATCGAGTTAGGCAAGTTTCGTTGAACAACTCCGATTTGCACGGACCAGTTGCAACTTTTTCGGAATGATTTTTATCCACGAACTCTACAACTTTCTCCCACATTCTCAAGATCTCCTTTATATCTCTTGTAGGGATAACCTCCTCCATCTCTGGCTCATCTTCAAAAATCTTAATAAGAAACTTTTTAATATTATGATTAATATTATGAATTTATGAATTATATAAATAATGAATTATTTGAATAATATTATGATGATTTAAGATTATTTAAAATAATTTTTCGTTGAACCACCGTATGCTGCAGCGAATATAGATCGTGTAACTTCTCGGTTGTCAGCTCCTGAGACTGTTCCTCGACCAGTTCGTTCAGATCTCTCTCATCCACCTCCAGACCCATGGATTTTCCCAGAGAAACAAGTCTAGCCTGAAGTGGGAGAAACTGTTAGACTATACACACGACAACAACATGCGCGCGCATGTTGCGGTCGTGTGCAACGGTGTAGTGGCGATTCCTCGTATCTCAAATCTTGCTCTCATTTCAAAGCAAAATATCGCTCGCTGGGCGGCTCGTATTTTAAAACACTCGTATATCAGGGCACTCGTATATCGAGGTACCACTGTATTTTAATTTTGCCCTATTTACAGTGGTCTCCAGCTGGCGGCCGCTAAAGCAGTTTTATGCGGCCTGCGAATGCATTTTAGTTATGCATTTATTGTTAATGCGGTTCTAGAAGTGTGCAGATGTATATGATTATTGAAATAATACCTAAAGTAACAAAATTTCACCGCGAACGAGCTCTGAATCACCAATTTTGTTGAAGTGATTTAATTGAAACTGAGTACAGAGAATGCCTTTAATATACCGAGGTTAGGCAGCTAAGTGAAGGATCTGCATTAAAAGAATTTTTTATTATAATAAATGGAATCAAAATTTTCGTGCCATAGAATTAAAAATGAATAAAATAAGATTAAAAAAAATGTGAAAGGTTTCAGATTTTAACAGTCCCCCAAAAGGGGGCTCTTTACGCTTTCGCTGACCTCGCAGTCCACTGTTCTTGCTGTTAGAGTTACTTCTACCGGAATCCCCCCTTTTTTTTTGTCTTTTTAACTTTATTATTAAGCATCATTTTCTTTACACTAACGCCATATATCTTTCAACAGCAAAATACAAAAATTTTTAAATCAGCATAGCAGTATACGATTAGAACTTCCGATGCGGCGTTAAATGCTGGCATAACATTTTCCTGTTCTTCACTCTTTACTCATTTTACGATATCAATGTTCAGTTTTCTTATTAAGATGGCTTAAGAAAGCTTTTTTTGTCTTTTTATTATTAAATTTTCGGTATTTTCTTTAGTTATTAAATGCCACTTTCTTCACGCTTACGCCACATAAAATTCGATTAAACTGCAAATAACAAAATATTTAAAATCAGTATAGCTTTATAATGTCCGATAGACAGTCTGGCGGTCCCGTGCAATGAAAATGAAAACATGAAACGTCACGGTAATCTGCGTTGTTTGCATTTAGCTGTTCATCATTGAACGTCTATAAGTCTTCCCTTCTAATTTTAATACTTTCAAATAAATGATTTCTATTTAATATGTAGAAAAATCACAAGGACTGCAAATAACGTTTTCAAACTTATTAGAAACTAGCTACATGAAAAATGTCAAAATAGTATCACAAAAATGTATGCATGCTAAAAACGTGGAAGATTACTAGAAGTTTCAATGGTATTTTATGCAAATTATGCTTAACACTTTTTTTGTGCCTACGGACGTTGATATTTGTTTTAAAATTCAGTGTAATTTTATTTAACAGTATGTTTCGTTGTTACCAGTACGCTGTATGGCAGTCATGATAAGACTTACGTCACGTTGCTAACATTTCCTTGCCTTGATTCACAGCCAACTGTATCATGGCCTTGAAGCGAAATCAGTTTCGGAAGGTCACGTGATCGAAATAGTCGATTTCTTTCTCTTTACCATAATCCCGGAGTTAAACCTTACCGAAAATAGTAGTTTGTATTAAAATAAATATAAGTAAAATTAATAAACGTGAGTAGGTCGTATGATTAACATTAAATTTTTCATAGTGCAATATTTTTACAGGCGGTAAAAATGCATATCTTCAATAATTTTTTAAACAATTTGTACTTCGTTTATGTAACTAAAAATATCATTGAGAATCACCTCATGCGAACTTTATTTATGTAATTTTTGATAAAAAATGAAATTCATTTATGTAATCTGAATCAAATTTATTGCCAAAAATATATAAAATCCACATAAGGGGGGAATTCAATAGATTTATGGATGCAAATTTTAGATTTTCATACTAGTAAAATAAATATTATTAATTATTTCTAGTATAGTTTTTTACTAGTATAGTTACTAGTAAAGAATTATTTTGTAAAACTCCATGCCTCTACCATCGCATCAGCTATATAAATTTTTAAAAGTCAAATACCCATAGTCATCTCTCTTCACTCCATTCACTAATAAAATCTGCATATCTCAATTTTATCGAAACAGGAAAATGAATTAAAATTCCTTAAATGCTAGAAAATTTGAATATAAAGATGAAATTACATGCACGTTATACTATAAATAAATCTTTCAAGATAATTTCAAAGAGCTAAATGCTAATTGCATTCATAAAAAAGGATAGCCATCTATTTGTACCAGTTCCAATTTTATGTTGAATCACTTTTTCCAAAGCCATCCAAGAGATAAGTAATTAGGCTTGGTTTTTTTTTTAAAGTGATTTCCCCAAATTACAGGCCTATACCACTATTAAAAATAAATTCATAAAACTTGGAGCTGTACCATATACATACATGCTACATATTATACATAATCTATGCAGAAACAAAGCATAAATCAAAATAAACAATTGAGTTATTAACTGAAATTAATTAAATTTTTTAACATTTTTATATGAACATTTTATATTAATTTTGTCATTTTTATATTTTGTATAATTATTTAACATTATTTTTTACAAGTTATCAAACATATTTTCTAACCGAGTTTGTAAAGTCATTCCACAAGTGCAAGAATCTGTTAAATTAAAGTAACTGTATAGTGTACTAACCGTATGCAAGATAACTTATATAAAATATCCATTTGCTTTCCTGACATAAGAAATGCGTTTTCCATGTTTTTAAGAATTTCACCAAATAAGAAATATACAATTGAAGATTTTAATAGAGTAACTTCAGATGGAAAATTTTTAATTTCCCCCTTATCTAATTCTTTAAGAAAACCAAAAATATCATCTGCTGTATCTACTGAATGAGTACTTTGCAACAAGTCCTGGCAAATATTGCATTTTATCACCCTTAATTTTTTCATGGCATCATAACCTGAAACATAAACTAGCACTGCTAAAATATCAGAAAAAACATTTTCTATAAAAAAATCATTAATAAGTAAATTTGAATAATCAATTAATTTTCGCAAAAGTAAAGATAGAATCCTTATCATAATCTGGTAAAAGAGACATTCATATTTGATGATGAAATTATAAAACGAAGCTTCTTCTCATTTTCTAATAATTGTAGGTCATTTATTTAATAATCTGAACCTGACATTTGCCGATACATTTCAAAACGTGATTCAGGAACATCAGTTTGAAATTTTCCTAACAATATGTATTCAGCTTCATACTTTTGAAACAAACATGGAATCAATTGAATGAATGCATTTATAGTTGTTATTAATGCCTGAAATGTTTGTGGTGATAAAGTTTATTTTATTGGGACAGAATGTCAAATATGCCATTAGGAAGTAATAATCAAAATAAGGAATTCCTAATGTACTATTCCAAACAACACTATGCGAAACGTCCAAACTAATGTATTCGATGTTATGTTAAAACGAAATTACTTGAATAGGATCGAGAACAGCTACAAATTTTCCCAAATAAATCTACAAATTAAAAAAGTATAAAACAAAGTATAGATAAAAATATTATTTACCTTAGCGTAAGTGATTTAAAATCACTTAATAGCAAAATATACATCTAAAAAATCCGCCACCACGGATTCACAACCATACACTACCACAACAACACATCGACCATCTCGATCACGTGACTTTTGCGCTTCAAGGCCATTATAGAGTTGGCTGTGGCCTTGAATTTTGTGACGTCATGCGTACTTCATCTCTCGAGCCTCCATGGTTTAGTTTGGTTTGGTTTATTTAATTATGACAAAGCACACTAGGGCTACCTGCCTGAGGGGAGTGATGCCTTCGTGGAGGACATTCTAAGGAAAACTGGCTCGTATACACATTACACATGGGGAAAACCACGAAAACACCTCATGCAGCCAGCTCGTTCGCGGGATTCGAACATCGGACCGAACTAGCAGTGTTCAAGAACTTTACCGCTCGGCCG